GAGAATACGAGGGTCTAGTAGAAGTTAACTGTCAAAATTACATTCAGAGCTCTAAACCTTATACTCTTCGCCTGATACTGACGATGATGTTCTGGGTTAAGACTCCCATTGACAGTCCTGAAGATAGAAACAATTTTTTTCTCGGAAACGTTGGTATCTACCTACGAGGCTACATGGCGTCGCAACCCAGAAAGTCTTCTCACCGCCGCAAGAACTTACAAGTCTCACATTCACCTGATACTGTTTTGAGAGCAAAGTTCATTTTTGGGTTATTTAGCGACGCTTGTTCAACTGCACGGGTTATATCACAGGTGTGGTAGATGGTAATTTATGAATTCAGAGAGAATTTGGAAGGAAACGGTCGTGGTTTATTTAACAGCGTTTTCACTATCTTAGATTAGGGTAACGTAACTTCCTATCTCAACAGTTGAGGGACGAAGAAGCACCAGTAAGGTGAGCCGGTCTACGAAACGAAATTCTAACCCGGAAACTCCCTGATACGAAGTAGTAGTAACGACCGTTCGACAACCGTGTTCGGAACCTAATATGCGTATTGCTACTGTAATATGTAAGGAAACTGTTGTAACCTAGTTCCAGACACTATCCCTGCACTAGTTTGGTGGCGGCTAAAGAAAACCACAAAAACATCAGTCACTACAACTGGTCTCCCTACCGAGATCTGAACGTGGGACATAGAGTCGACGGAGTACTAACCACTCAGCCGCGACATTCGGTGCGCTGCGGTGTTCGCTTCAGGATAAAATGAAGCATGAATGAAAGAACTAAAAATAAAATAAGAGAATGAAGAGGGAGCGAAGAAATAACGAAGGAAATTTAAAGAAATTAATAAATGAAAGCTAAAAGAATGAGAAAAATGTGAAAAAAACAGGAAGAGAGAAAGATGAAATACAGGATAAAGGAAGGAGAAATAGTAAGACAGAATAAAGACAGTAAGAAGATGACAAGAATTAAATGAATAAAGAATAACTGAATAAATTACGACAGAAAAGGTGGAAGAATGAATGCTTAAAAAAGATAGAATTAATTAAATGAGGGCTAGAAAGAAGATGGAAAAGAACAAAGAAAAATACAGGATAAACAGAACATCCCTACCATATACGGCAAGAATTATTATTTAACGCAGAGGTTCTCAACCTCCTGGAGATCTGGGACAACTTTCGCCCTTTACTATCGACTGGCGGGCCGTTTAGTATAAAAGACGACAATTTATTAAAAAATACTACTAAATTAGGCCTAATATCGCAAACAGGTTCAAATATCAGATACTCAATAACCGTCTTTAAAAATAAGCCGTTACATAATTAACAATTTCTACTAATTAATTTCTGTTGCTGCAACCCGCAGATATCCTTTCAAGTGTTCATCAGTAAGACGCGGCCTAGTTCTTGATTTGACAGTCTTATGAAGTTGAACAGCTGCCTACAACGAACGTGGGGCATGCTGCCAAGTACTGATGACATCAACGAAATATGTTCTCTCATATGAGGTAACTTTTTCAGGATGACACAATATTACAAGCGATGTAAACGGGCAGGGTGAAAAAAAAGGCTATTCGCATGCAAACCGAGGGTTGAGAAACCCATATTTAACATTTAAACGCATTTCTGTAAATGATAAAACAATTAATTTTATCCCAACGTTCGGAATGTTCGTCTACTCCAAGAATACACATTTCATATCTTGGTTTTAATGTTAACGTTGACGGGTCTGCTCCAAATACGGAGTCGGCGCCATAATGGTCTGGAGATTATCGCAGTATCTTAATATTCAAACGACCCCGCGTTCGATCCGAATTAATTCACTTAAAATATGAATTAGCGTCGTTAACTAAACTCAGACTCAATGCTAGAAGGCAATATCACATACCATCGCCCTAAAATATATAACATCCTAGGTTGATATAACGTTTTTAAATGACATAAGACTCCATTTCAGACTATAATGCCATATAAAATTATGTTACATATTAGGTAATGCATGCGACGGGAGAGGGTTCTCAAGTTAAACTAATATCATGCTTCATTCTACCTGAAGGCGGAGTGTGTCAAACTTTCGTTTCCTCCTTGGGTATTTACTGCTCTTATATCAGTATGCTGGGAGCAAAATTCTTTCCACATCAAGTCACACTGTCCTCGTAACACACGTACGAAAAACGATACAGACGGAGATAAATAAGCCAATATGGAAGACAATGGAAGACAGGGTGGTAAGACGAAACGTGAATAAGGAGAGAAAACAACGGACTATTTTCTGTTAAACACAAGCAACAAGCAGGCATCCAAAGTCTGCTTTGCTTTTATTTTCGGAAGAGATAAATAAACGCAAGTCTTGAGTTCACCTTGGCCAACATCACAGGTAAACCTTACAGCGTACCAGTAACACTAAATCCCTCTGCATCGCACATTATAAAGAGCGCTTAACATTTCTCACATTGGTACGTCTTTTATATTTAGGCCTACATCATGTTTACGCACAAAATAATAGATTCCTGTTAAACTACTGCTGGCCTGCCAAAGACTCCGGGGTTAAGGGACTGTTGGGTTATCTTTGAACTAAGATTTATGACACATCCACCGGTTCCAGAATCACCTCTCAGGAAAATATTTAATGGCGGCAAAATGATGTTTTGGTAATACTAAACGAATATTTGAGGCACAACAGGGCACGGCACGAAAGGTGTCGCATTACTCTTCTATTCGGAACTTGGCACGCTGCACAAGATCTCTGCCGAGAAACAAATGAAATACGCACACCACCTGCAGTTAATTTCGGTAAGCTTCGTTATTTCTGTAACCAGTGACCAAATGAAATAACAGGCCGTTAAACAGCTGTACCTCTCTAGTTCAGCTGATAACCACTAAAACTGCTATCAATATATTCCTTTGTTGCGAAAACTGATATAAACTTGACATATGGAACGATTACGGTTTTTACGCGCAGTGTTAGGAGATAAAACTACCAATTATTTGCAACAGCCTTCCGAAAAGATACTA